CAATGAGGACTATGCCCATGTCGGAGAGATGAGCAGCAGGGCTTTGGTCCCCTCTGCCCCCAAGTCCTGAACAATACACAGAGAGCCAGTCAATTCCGTGGCTGAGCGAAACACTGTGGCTCCTGGGTTAGGGACTCCAGACCCCAAGCCACAGACCTGCTAGGGATCACCGGTGGCCCTTTGGCCACCTTGTGTCTCCCCAACATCTATCTTCTGGCCCCTCCTGGGTGTGCCTGTCCTTTTGCCCTCCCCTTCCCTTTACGCAGTGGCGAGGCCCAGCGTCTGCTGGAGATAGGGACCCCAGGGTTGCCCCACCAGCACTGTCCCTGTAAGCCTTTCTTAGGGCTGGCAGAGAGGCCAGCTGGGGACTGCAGGCTCTGTTTGGACTGTGGGCGGCTTTCTCCTGGCTTAAAAACATTTCCTCCACCCTACCTGGCCTCTCTTATGATACCCGGAGGCATACCCTCCAACCAAGCACCTGCTCTGCATCCTGGGGCAGAGGCCCTGCTGGCCTGTGCTTGGGGATCCGTGTTGAATCTTAGGGAACATTTATGTGAGATTTTATAAAAGGGAAAATTAACTTATAGTGATCAGAAGCAGATCAGGTGTTGCCTGGGGCTGGGGTGGAGGGGGAGGGAGGTGAGGAATTGACTGCAAGAGGCCGGAGGAGACTTTGAGGGGATAAGAATGTTCTAGATCTGGATTATCATAGTGGTTTCACAGGTGTATACATTTGTCAGAGCTCATTTAATTGTATACTTATTACTGATGCATTGTTAATTAAAAAGAAGACAAATCTTAGAACAGATTGGTGGTAGATGTCCATGTTCAGGCAATGGTCAGGCAGGCACTGGGTGTTCTTAATTCTAAGGATCCTGTTCAGCCACAGCAAAGACTGTGTAGATCGTGCGGGTTCATGGAAGACTCAAAATGAAGTAATACTGCACAGAAGAGAAAGCACTCACTGCATGTTCACAATGACAACGGCAGCTTTCTAGGGCTGGGGTCTGCTCTGTGCAGAGGGGGCTCACCCCCTAGGCAGAGGCCTCGCTGGTCCTCGGTTTCTCTGTCCCTGCACGGCTACAAGGTGGCAGCCTGCAGAAAATAGAAGCAGCAGGCAGGAGGGAGAGCGGAGTCCCACTGACATGTACGTAATAAAGAGGGAGGCAAAATCTGGATGGAAAGCTGATGCTGTCTTTATTTAAAATTTTGATATTTTGTTTATTGTGGACTTTTTGCATTAATGTCGATTTTTTAAATATCATATTAAAATACTGTCTATCTTGATTCTTTGGGCACCCTCCTCAATTGCACGGGCTAGGTGGGTGCCTCACTTGCTCACCCTCATCTGGCCCTGAGGGAAAAGTAGGAAGAAAGAACCAGCCAAGGCCGGGTGTGGTGGCTCACGCCTGTAATCCTAGCACTCTGGGAGGCCGAGGCGGGCGGATTGCTTGAGGTCAGGAGTTCGAAACCAGCCTGAGCAAGAGCGAGACCCAGTCTCTACTATAAATAGAAACAAATTAATTGGCCAACTAATATATATAGAAAAAATTAGCTGGGCATGGTGGCGCATGCCTGTAGTCCCAGCTACTCGGGAGGCTGAGGCAGGAGGATTGCTTGAGCCCAGGAGATTGAGGTTGCTGTGAGCTAGGCTGATGCCACGGCACTCACTCTAGCCTGGGAACAAAGAGAGACTCTGTCTCAAAAAAAAATTAAAATATCTAAGGATACCCTAATCATGAAAAAAATAAAAAAATAAAAAATAAATAAATAAAAAATTAAAATAAAAAAAGAACCAGCCATTAGTGCAGATAATGCAGAAATAGCAGTCAATCCTCTGTAGGCCCTGGGTGGGGAGAGGCCCAGAATGGCCTGGGAAGGCAGAGCGAGATGGAGAGACCTCCGTGGAGCTGGAGCGGGAAGAGTGCTGGGCTTGGGTGGGGGGAGTAAGACTCCCGGGAGGGCTCAGAGTCCTGGGTGACTAGTTCCCTTGAGGGTGAGCTCAGTGTCTGCTCTCTGCCCTGCCTGGCCTCTGCGTCCTGGCTGCCCCAGGCCTGGGCTTCCCAGCCCATCTCTTGTGCCTGGCGTGATGGGGAAGCTCAGAGTGGGGTGCGGAGAAGGGAGGGTACTCGGGAGCTCCAAGGAGGGAGCTGGGAAGTAGTTCAGGAGGGAGGCTGCTGATGGACTCGAGAAAGAAGAGCTCGGCCTGCGGCCTGCGGTAGGAACTAAGGAGGTGACAACAGGGCTGGGAATAGAATGGCCCAGAGCTCTGTTTCCCAGGCTGGAGCCCCAGGAAGGAGCTCCCAAGGCACTGGGTAGTGGCAGCTGGAACAGCCATGGGAGCAGAGAGCTGGGACTTTGGCCTCAGAACAGCAGTGAGAGTCCCTCACTCCTCACTCTCTTGGCCGGTGGCTGTGACACTGTGCTTATTTGCATGGCTGACATGATTTTTATGTAAAACTCCCTCCACCGCCGATGGAAATGACCTGGGTGGGAAGTGACCAGGGTGCCTGATAGCTGGTGGTCCCAGGTGCTGCTGACAGCCTCGGGGTGGGCAGTAGCCAAGGGTACGCCTGGCAGGCATCTTTCCAGAAGGCAGCCAGGGAGCTGGAGGGAGAAGGGCAGGGACCAAGGCCAGAGGACAGCTGGATTGTGCATTCAGGAGGAAGGCAAGCAGACCGGAGAAAGGGAGCCAGGGAAGGGTGGAGCCAGGCCAGGGGCAGGTGCGGAAGTCGAGGACAAGAGCAGGCCGCCAAGGCCAGCTCTGCTGGGGAAAGAGTCCAGGTCTTGCGCTGCCCCAGCACCTTCCTCCTGGAAATAGGGAATCTACTAACAAAGAATTTCATGCCTAGTGCCCCCACCTCTGCCCCCCTGCCCCCAAGCCCCAGCACATACCCTGTGTGTTGTCCCATGGCAGACGCCCCGCCTTTCTGTTCTTTGCCCCCAGCCATCTGGCAGTGCCCAGTGCCAGGCATGTTCTCTGGTTTCATGTGCTGGCCCCATTCTCTGGATGGTAATCTGCAGACCTCCAAGTTCATGTTGCTGACCTTTCCCTGAGAGTCAGGATTCCCATTCCTCCCGGCTGCCCAGAACCCCCAGCCTGAGCTCTTTCTAGAGATCGTGAGACTTTCAAGGAAGGAGGCTGAGGATGACCCTCTGAGGCTAGTGGCCATCCTGGGAATGGAGCAGGGACCCTTAGGTCTGGCCTAGGCCTGCCAAGGCTCCGTGGCAACCACGTAGTTCCCTGGTGGCCAAACAGTATCTGGACACCTCCCTAGGAGAGAGGGAAGCACAGCTGAGGACAGGATGCCAGTGTCTCCTCAGGACCAATGACAGACGGGAGGGGCAGGAAGGGGATCTGGCCTGTGGCTGAGTTCTGCCCTCTTGGAGAGCCAGAGAAGTGGCCCCTGAAAACAATCTAAGATTAGAGAACTCTAGGGCACCTGCCTGGGCCCCCCCGGAATTCTCTCCTCCATTCTTCTGCCTCTGCATTCAATTTCCCTCAAGATACCCTAAAAAGGAGCAGTTTCCACCCTGGGCTAGAAGTTTCCACTTTCATGAATGTAAATCAAAGAGGATAGTAGTCACTACTTTTAAGTCTTTGCTCAAATGCCACCTTGGGGAGGCCTTCCCTGACCATCCTGTTTCAAACCGTGACTGCACCCTCCACCTTGTTGACCTGTTCCCTGCCTCATTCTTCTGAATAGCACTTCTCACTTTCTAATTCATTGATTTTTGGCAGCCGCCTCCTACTCCCAAATGCTAGTGCCAAAGGGCAGGAGTCTTTGCCTGCCCCTGCCTTTGGCTTCTGCACTCGACCCTAGCTTGGCTCTCTGCCATTTCCTGGCTCCCTTTTCCAGTCTCCTTGCCCCCCTCCTGACTCCATAATCCCAGCTAGAATGATGCCAGGCACACAGAGGCACTCAGTAATACTCGTTGAATGACTGTGTGAAGGATGTATGCAAAGCATTTAGTAGGATACCTCGCACCTTCTGACTATTGCTGCTGTTGTTGTTTGTTGCATGTGACTTGTCAAGATTCCTTAGCCTCTCTGGCCCTCTGTCTCTTCCTCTGTAAAATATGAAGATTGACCCACTCATGATCTGTGAGCTTCCTTCAAACTCTAAAATAACATTAGTGCCTCCAAAAACTCAGAGTCAGGAAAGTTCTTCCGAAAGTTCACCTAAATCTCCTTCTTTTGCAGTTCTGAGAAGCAGCTCTGCTGGGTTTGGAGGTGCTAAGCGCCCCTTTTGCAGTAGCTCTTCCTCTACTTCTTTTGACTCTGAAGACCAGAATGGGATATAGGTGCAGGACCATGAGTCAGCCCAATATTTCTTGGAACAGTTTTCATTCGTATGTTTTATTTTAATTGACTTTGGAGTGTGGTTTCATAACATTTTATTGTTTTCAGTGGGTGCAATTCATTATGTACATGATTAAAGGTCATTTGATTTTAATTTCTTCATTATGAGTTGTCATAGAAATAGCCAGAGTTCAGGAAAACAAAATTGCCAGACCTCGTGCCCTGATGTGGGATTTGGACATGTGGTCCTTGGAGACGAAGGTTCGCACTGTCCTGCCTTGGCTGGGGCTCTGTCCCTGACCTGGGGCATCCTCTCTGGGGACAAGGTCATACCTCAGAGGGCTCAGGGGTATCTGTTTCAGGGGCTCAGATCAACAGGGCCCAGACCATCCTCACCGGCCTCAGCCCTTTCTCTCAGAATCTATCCCCCTCTGAAAGGGGCGGTGCATCGGGAACCCTCCCGGTGCTTCTGTGGGGGCGGTTCAGGAGTAAAGGTAGCTTCACATTCTGGTATTCTCTGAGTAACTGGGACGGCCTCAGTTGAGGGGAGGAGGGACAGGTCTGGCAAGTTCTGTGTTGTTTATACTGGGGATTACCTCACACATCCCAACCGGCTTCCCCGCCCCATTTGGTGGGGGCCGGCCCTCGGCCCTCCAAACCCCTTTTCCCCACATGCCTGGGAAGCCAGGGGCCAACATGGATCTTCTCCTCGACATCAGCTGAGCCTGGAAGACTCATCCCTCGGAGACCATGGAGAGGGACAGCCGGGTGAGTGTGTCCGTCGGCCCGAGGCCAGCCGCTCCTGGCGCTGAGGAAGCAGCCGGAGCCGGAGACAGGTGGGGCCGCCACCATGCGCCCCAGGTTTGGGTGGATTGAGTGTGGCTTTTCTAGTTTGAAGCTACTTGGGATCCAGGTTTCTTGGCTTCCTTTCAGTATGGTTCTAGAAGGAGCCCCTGGGAGGAGGAGCTGATGGGGTTTGGGGTCTGGTCAGCGGGCACCCCAGGGCTGTGCGGCTGAGTCCCGGGCTCCTGCTCTTGGCCTGCGAGCACTGGGCCAGACATCTGTGCTGTCGGAGCGGCCACTGCACTGCTTGAGAATCTAGCCTGGTCTAATTTATTCTCATCTCTTTGTTGGTTTGAGAATCAGAAGCATTTTAACTGGTAATCAAGGTCACCTTGTCTAACCCCCTCACTAGTCTCGTAAACCTTCTCAGAAAACTGTGACTTTCTATGTCCCTTTAAGATTTTCAAGGGTATGTTTCAACCTCCCTGGTCATTTATTTTTAGGCTTAATAACCTTCATGCTTGGGAAGTGCTTCCTTATGTTTAACCACAATTCCTTCTACTGCAACTCAAGTTTTCCTCCTCTTCTTCCTCCACCACCTCCTCCTCCTCAGTCTTCTTCTTCTCTTAGGGGCAGTAGACAGCAAGAGCAGCAAGTCTGTCCTCTGTGGAAAAGCCGGTCATAAACACATGAAGGCTTCCAGAGATTTTGTTCAACTATGCTTCTGCTTTCTTTTCTTCCAGGAAATCCCCGTGTTCGCACTACTCCTTAGGTCTTGTTTTCTGCTCCTTCCCACACTCTTTGTTGTACTTTACTGATATGCTAGAATCTGGGACTCTGGGAAGGATAGACTAGGTTTGAGAAAGATCAACTCATCCTATGTTCTGGCTTGCAGTTGGCTTGTGGTCCATTCTGAACCCCAGATGTGTTTCTGCAAACTTTACCATCATTTCTCCCACCATTCTTCCAGCCTGCTCTTGACTCCTCTTTCTCAGTCTTCCTGCCCTGCCCTTCTCTCTGATTCTTGTCTCCACCTCACCAAAGTCACTTGGCCCTGGGCCTCAGGAGCTCTTGGCGTCTCTGTTGAGCAGTAAGAGTGGTGCACTGGGCAGAATGCAGTTGTGTCTGGGGAATGGGGACGGTGAACCCACAGTCACAGCCATGGGGCATCCTCCTTGGTAACCTTCTGGGAGCCTAGACTTGATGGTCCCTAAACCCAAGGATGAGGAGGGCTGAGCTATCTGAAGGGTGACTGTGGTCACACTGGAGGTGGATGACAGGGTCTGTCCCTGGGCCAGGGTGATGGACGTGATGTCTGCCTAGGAAGCTCCTCTCTCCAGAGTCAGGGACAAACATGGAAGGTTGATGGAGGGGCACAGGATGGAGAGCAGAATTTTTATTATTGATGGAAAAATAGTGACTCCCAATTAATCTAGGAATTAAGTGTCAAATGGTATGGGAAGCCCCAATGTTCATTCCGGAAGAAAGATTGTGCCAACTTATTTTAGGTTGGAAAAACCAAATGATTACATTCTTATTTAAGGTTCTTAAATTTAACCCCCTGTTTAAGGTGGAACCTCCAAGAGAGGGAGCCTGAAGTGGGGACAAGGAGGGCTATAGTTGGAGATTTCTTAAGGCTGATGACATAGGAGCCGTCTGGGAGAAGCTGCTCACCTGAGGCCGTGGCTTCTCCCTGAGGGCTCTATTGCAGAGAGATGCATTGTGGGTTTTGTCCCCCCGGCTCCAAAAAGTAGTGCAGAAGATGGCAGTCCAGGCTTAAGGCTGATGACGCTCCTGTGGCAGCTGCTGGGTCTTCAGAGGAATCTTGGGCAGGGGTGGAGAAGGCGCTCAGCCTGCGGTGGGCCTGCCATAGTGGACCGAGGACTGACCACGACCCCGCTCAGCTTTGGGCAAACACTTAAAACTTCCTGGACCTTAGTCTCTTCATTTCTCAAATGGAACAATAATAGTACTGTTAAAAGAAAAACTCTGGACAAATTAAATTTAACAGAGTTTAGAACGATTGAGCAAAGGATGATTCGAGAAACGGGCAGAGAGACTCAGGCGCTGCCGTGTGGTCGGAGAGGATTCACGGACAGCAAACGGAAGTAGGGACATAAACAGCTGGAGGGGCACAGCTCGGCATTTGCCTTACTGGAACACAGTTTGCACAGTTGGCTGCCTTTCACTGGCCGAAACTTGGTGATTGGTACAAGAGTGGGCTGTAGTCTGTTTGCACGTCCAGTTAGGCTACGGTTTTATGTGCAGAGAAACCATTAGGCCAAGCTTAAACGATGTAAGCAGGCAGCTTGAAGCTTAACTTAATTTAATAGTACCTAACCCAAGGAGTCCCAAAATAGTGTTTTTCACATAGTGAGGCTCATTCAGAATAGGATCTGGCATAGATATTATAGACAGAGTCATAGATCTGGTCACAGAGTATTACAGTTTATCATCATCATCGCCAGCATCACCATCACCATGTAGGGTCTAGTTCTGGCTCCTCAAAATTTGGACAAATATCTTTGTCTATCCATGCCTCAGTTTCCCCACCTACCGAAGTATAGGGCTGGACAGGGTGGACAAACTGCCCCCTGAGACCCCATTCTGGCTCCACGCCAGTCTCTGGGATAATGCAGAATGGCATTACAGGTCCATTGCCCTGGGTACGTGCATCTCTTCTTAACATATAGTGGGTATTTGGTACTTTTATCAAATGGGTCACGTTTTTAATGCTTGGAGAGAAGTGCAAGGTTTGTTAAAGAAAGACTGAAGTAGACCCAGTGATGAAGCAACATTCCTCTGTGGAGTGGATTTTCTTATACTGGGTCTTCTTAAAGCGGAGTAGGTTCCAAATCAGCCTGAGACCACAGATGCCACAGACAAGTGAGAAAGGCAGGGGGCCCAGGGCTGGTCCGGGATGAGGCGCCCTCCCTGGGCAGAGGGACCCGGGCAGGCTCCCGAGAGGGCAGACCAGGCTCAGGTCACTCTGCCATCCCCCAGCCCCCAAGTGCAGGCACTCTGAGGACCCCGCACTGCCCTTTGCCCCTGCAGGCAGGCATCCTCACCTGAGACCTGTTTCGTGTTTTCATTGGTGCTGAGCAGCCTTCCCTGCCATTCCCTGCGCTGTCCCCTGTGACTTGGCAAATGTGAGCGCAAGCGTGTGGGAGTGTGTGCACAGGGCTCCAGGCTGGGTGCTGGGCGGGAGGGCCACCTGATGTAACATGGCCACTTAGCTTAACTGCCTTGTTTTGACAAAACAGCTTCCTCTTGGCGTAGCAACAATGGGGGCAGATGTGTCCGGCCAGGTGGGCAGGGTGCTGATGGCGTAGGCACGAGGGAAGCCGCCACGGGGAACTCCGGCTTCGTCAGCCAAGCAGGGGCCTTGGCAGCCCTGGGTGGAGCCTGGCCTCTCTAATAAAGAAGTAATCCAAGACTATATGGGGAGCCCTGGTTATATACCAGCCCTGAACTGTGTCACCACCCTAGCGCTGGCAGAGAGGGAAGGCACAGACACAGGGAGAAACTGAGGCAGCGAGTTCCTGGGCAATCCAATGGGCAGCTGTGGGCACCCAATGTTCTTTAAAGCATTTGATGAATGAATGAACAAGGAAATGTGTCGATTCTGGTCTAACAGGGCTCTTCCAGCCTTTTCCATGTGTATAGGAAGCATCATAAACTAGAAGGAATTTTAACACTCACCCAGGCCAGTAATTTTCAAGTTCTTTGTAACAGCTGCCTCTTTTGTTCAAACGAAATCTTATGTAGAGTCCACTGTTTGAAACTGAAGCGTGGATCCTCTCTGTTCAAGGCAGGGTGAGGGCTCTGAGCCTCACCACAGTCCTCACCAGCTGGTCTCCAAGGCACCTCCCCGGAACCCGTAATGCTCCGTGGAACCCCGTTTGCAAACCGCTAAGTGTCCAACACCTTCATTTTACAGATTAAGGAGCTGAGACCCAGAGAGGGATGCCACTGTCCCCAACCTCACACGGCTGGCTAGGAACAGAAGCAAGGCTCCCCTGTGCCTCCCACACCTGGGGCAGGGGAGACCTGGAGTTCTGACTCCTCCGTCTGGAGCTCAGTTAGCTCACAGGCTGGCGGGGTCCCTGTGGTTCACACCGTGTGTGCGCTGGGGTGCTGGTGGCTGGGTGCGAGTAGGCAGTGGGGAATATGCCTGCGTTGTAGGGGGAGCCTGTATTTGCAGAGTTTCTCTGGGGTCAGGGAGAGGGAGAGGAGACAGCCCTGTGTGTCCAGAGCTACGGTGAAGCCTCTGTCTAGCAGGGAGGAAGGGGAAGAAGCCATAATGTACTCCCACCCAGGCCGGGCCAGGCCAGTCCATGCCAGCATGGGTTCGGGGCTCCCCTGCCACAGCCCCAGGGCCCCCAGGTTCCCAGCAGGCAAGGAGGGGTTTTAGGCCCGGTCAAGGGAGCTTCTGCTCTTTCTGGGTACCCTAGTGCTTCTGGCGGGGTTCGAGCAGTCATCTCTTCGAATGTCCTCAATACCTGGGGTCACTGGGAAAGAGAAGCTCTCTCCAGCTCTCTCTGCAGGACCCTAAGTCTGGGGCAGGTCCTTTCTCATTCGAGGTTGGTAAGGGTGTGCAGTGGGACAGCACGGTGTTGTACAACAGCTCAAGGATGGGAGCCAGAAGACCAGGGTTCTCGTACTGGCCCTGCTCCCAAACTGGCTGTGTGACCCTGGGAAAGTCACATCACCTCTCTGGGCCTTCATGGCCTTATCAATAGGACAAAGGGCATGGACTAGAGGGTTTTCAAAGTCCTTCCAGTCCTGACAGCCTGTGACATGCCTAGGCTGCCCCTGGGTGGTCACTTTACAAAGGGATGGCGGACTGGACTTAAAGGGCCCTAATACACCTGTCCCCAGGCTACAAAGAAGTGCCATTGTGCTGCTGCTCCTGCTACTGGACATTCTTCGGGTCTAGCAGGAGAGCGTTTTATAGGGTCATTCTCACTGCAAGCCTGGGTTCT